TTTCCCTTCCCGTCCCCACCCCCATCCCAAAGATCAGACTACTGTTAAGTTTCAACACGGAATTGAATTTCACTAAGACGGGAGGCTAGCGGAGTGATTTGCATCAATGAAATTGCACTGACAGTGTTTCTTATAGGATGACTACAATTTTTTTAATATAAAATGAAGATTTTTTAGAATCATGAGTTGATATTAGGTACCAGGACATTAGTTCAGATGATTTCATTTTTATTTCTACAGTGTTAAAAGTGCACTTATATGCTGGTTTATTTACATCTTGGGGAAAAAGAGACTGCAAATTGAAGGGAAGATTGTTACTTTTTCTTTTTAAAAAAAAAAAGGTTAAGGCAGATTTAAGACTTATAAATGTTTAAGAAATTATAAACAAGATTAGAACCTTTGAAAAAAAAAGTTTAGAAGATATTCTTAAAGTAAATTTTTATAGTGTTAATTTTGTAATAATTTATGTTTTACTATATTACAGAGCTAACTGACCAGAATAGTTTCAGAAACAATATGAAACTTAGGAAAGTTGAAGCAATGTTTATATTTTTAAAATGTTCTTTGGATTATGTTTTTATTGTACATTTCTTCAGACTGAAAAGTATGTACATATCTGTTATTTTTGCACAATTTTTGTCTTGTTCAGTTTTAGACGTCTGTGTGTTGTTGTGTTTTTTTTATAATTTATTTTGAGTTGTAAAACTTGCAGGAGTAAAAACAAAACGAGAAAAATCTCAGCAACAAAATAACCCTCTGATCTATAAACTCTTGACATCCAAAGAGGGAAAAACGAAGGTCGAGAGATGAAGTGGCTGCTTCTGCGAAATAATGTCTGGACAGGGACTAAAGGAGCAATTCAATCATCGGCGTAAACGTTTTCGCTCTCTACGCCTTGAATCGCAAGCTGGGATAGAGAGGCTCCCCACCGAATGCTGCTGACATGGAGAAAGACTGGCTCTGACCAAGGCGAGGACATTTCTGGAAAACTGAGCAAAAAGGGAAAACCCACGGTGTTTCTTCCTTCACAGTCAACCACAGGTTTACTTTATAACAATGTATTCGAAACTCACAGCTTGAAAAAATGGAATGCAAATAAAAGGTTTTCTATGGTTTTGTTTTAATGGAGTTCAACTGGACCAGCCTCTAAAGCACTGTTCGGGTGATCCATCCCCTTTGGGTACTTCTTGTTCTGCCCACCCCACTCCACCCTCTCTCCCAGCCCCGTGACTGCACACCCCACACCCCCTCCATTTGCCTGAAGATCTCCCGACTTGTCGCCAGCCACAGAGGCTCGAGAGCTCTGGTTGTTAAGCATAGCGCAATGCCTAGACCCGTCAGCCATAAAAACAAAGCGACTTGGATAACTTGTATGCCTTCTTTTGTATCAAAGTACCAATTGTAAATAACGCTGATCAACCTTTGTAGAGAATAGTTTATACAGCATATTCTATTATTGCTGATTCTCAGTGAACTCTTGTTTTGAAAAAAGGAAAAAAAGAAATTTTCTATTTACACCTTCTATTTTGTTATGCTGTTGGCCCATGGCACTTTAACAAAACTGTGGGTTTTACGTAGCTGGTCAGTCATGGGGTATATTAAATAACTGTTGTTGCACAGACAAGAATTTGCACCTGCTCATTTGTCCTTTCCTACTACCGACTTCAGAACCTTTTCCAGAAGAATTTTGAAGAAAGCATGTCCAAGCATTCTAAGCAAATGCCACACTTGTGGAGTGGGTTTCTCCTTTTCTACGATCCGCATTTTGTAACACTAGGTCTTTTCCTTCTTTGTCCCGCACCTTTATGTGTTAGCACTATCAGAATTCATTCCATGCCTGTGATATTGTAAGAATAAATGTCTAAAGTAGGTGTAAATAGTAAACTCTATGGATTACAGTTTTAAAAAGGAAAGAACAAACATGTATCTATGGATACCGCCATGGTTCCGCACCAGGCCTGGAGACATTCTCCAGTGAGCGATTTGTTTTTTTGGCTTTTTTTCTTTATTTTCTTTTTTTTTGTAACATGGCTTTGTAAATAAAATAATTTATATGTTTGTAAAACAAAGTCTTCGGGTTTTCATAAAATTTAGATTTTTGTTATTTCTCTTTTGTCTTTTGGGTGAATGTGTTTTCGCCAGGCGAGCCTTACTGCTAGGACATACATTGGAGGCATAGAAGAGAAGAGAGTGGATTCATTCAACAAATATTTATGGAGCATCCTGGCTGCGGCTGCCCCTGAGCTAGGCGCTCTGTGCTTAGTGATGAGAAACAGACAAGAGTCCCAGCTGCTTTCTGCAAGCAGCTCAGTGGGAGAGACAGTAAATAAAGACACGATCAAATGTGTAATTACAGATATCGGCAAATGCTATGACTCTCTGAGAGAGAAAATAGGAGAAACTGACAAAGTGTGTGAGGGGAGTGCTGTCGGGGAGTTTTCTCTGAGGAAGTCAGCTGCCGGCACAGTGTGGAGAGAGAATCCCAGGCAGAGGTGGTCCAAGGCAGAAAAAGTTCGGTACGTTCCCAGAGCCCAGGGAAGACCCACTGTGGGTGGAGCAGGGGAGAGAGATGGACAGGAGACAAGGACAAGGTCACAAAAGGCTCTCAGTTTGGGTTTTGTGCTTAATTCAGCAGGAAATACGGTACATGCCCTTGACTGGAATCGAACCTGGGATCTTTCAGTCCGCAGGCAGACGCTCTATCCACTGAGCCAAACTGGTTTCGGCCAGAAGGGATTTTTTTTTAAAAAAAAAGAAAGAAAGAAAAGATCCTCTAGCTGCTGTGTGGAGAATTGGATGCTCTTGCAAGAGACCGGGTGAGACATGTTAGTGAGGTCCCAGGATGGCTGCTGCAGAGAGAAAGAGAAGTGAGTAGACTGGATAAACTGAGATACATAGTAAATTGACAAGACTTGCTTAGGAATTAGAAGAGTAAGGGAGGGGGGTGGGTGGCAATAGTGGAACAAGGACACATATGTAATACCTTAATCAATAAAGAAATTTTTAAAAAGAAAAAGAGTAAGGGAAAGAAGACTCCCAGGTTCTGGTAGAGCAGTGGTGTTGGGTGCAGATGCCATTTCTTCAGCTGTGGGAAACCAGAGAAAGAACAGGCTATTTAGGAGGCCGGTGGGAGGACCATTTCACGATGACCAAAAGTTCTGTTTTGTGCATGTATGTTCATGTATGAGATTACTATGAAATGCCTTCCTGTGTCAAGAAGGCATGGTATACACATGACAGAAGCTAACAGCAGGTCTAAGTTGGAGGCATCGATTTGGGAATCGTTAGTCTATGAGTGATATTTAGAGTCACGGGTATGGATGCGATTACTTGAGAGAATGTAGGAGGAGAAGAGCAGACAGTTGGAGGTTGGTAAGGTGGAAGCAGAACACTAGCCAAGAGAGAGACTTACGATGAAGCATTCTCAACGAGCAGAGAGAACCCAACAGGAAATGGTTGTCTGGAAGCCAGGACTGTCAGAGGTTTCAAGGAAGGAACAATCCACTGAGTCCAGTTCTGCCGTAAAACGGAAGCTGTAGCCCTAGCTGGTTTGGATCAGTGGATAGAGCGTCAGTCTGTGGACTGAAGGGTCCCGGGTTCGATGCCTGTCAAGGACACATGCCTGGATTGCAGGCTCGATCCCCAGTGTGGGATCAGCAGAGAATAGCTGGCTCCACTAGGGGGCGTCTGGACACTTCTCTTCAGCACGCTCTCCAGAGGAACTGGAGCCTGGCTGCTTGCGGGATGCAGCGAAAGGGTGTCCTGAGCAGACACAGACACCCGGGCTCGTAGGCATGAAAAACGATCAGCAACTTGGGAAGATGTCAGCAGGGTCCAATGTGCTCTCCTGGGTCTGACTTTATAGGCAGCGTGAATTCGATTGTTGCCGTTTCAGTGTTGCTTGAGGTTCAAAGGTCAGAGCTACTGATTCAGGACCGAGTAACTCCTGGAGAGTAAGGACAGGAAGTTCTGGAGGAGAAGGCCACATGTCTAGAGCCTGCACGACGGAGCAGAAATCGCTGCCTCCGGATCACCAGCACGCAGTCTCCTCTCCCGTAAGGACCGTTCCTTACGTTTTTTACTTTGCTTCTCCTAAGCCACTCAGTCACAGGACACCATGACCGGCCCCCTCTGTTTGCTGTGACTCGGGTCCTCCTCCGCTGCTCTCTGTCGCCATTACCTCTCTGCAGGGGTCCCTCTCCATTTCAGTCCCCCTGCCACAGCCTGGCTTCTGCTATGCGGAGCCACAGTCACTTACCTCGGTGATCACACACACGTAGTCAACCCTTTAAGGGTCCAGCAGGTAGGTGGCCATGATTTAAAGGGGGACACTTCATTCAGGTGTGCCGTGTGTGCTTCACATCAGGGAACATAAAGCAAGTCCCCAAAGGATGGACCAAAACACACGGAGGAGTAACAGCCCACATCAATAGATTTTCAGTTCTCCCCCGAACCCATCAGGAACCAGAGGCCCAAGTGGGCCCTCAGGTCCGCAGGCCCTGGAGCAACGCATCGGCTTTGTCAGCTTAGTTCTGTCACAGCTCCCCAGTCTCCAGTTAATTCTGGCACCAGGATCACTCCGGCCGTGGCTCTGTGAGGAGGCACAGCTGAAGCACCTTAGATAATGGGCCCCTGTGAACCCAGCGCAGTGCTCGCTCCCATCTGCTCTCCGTGTGGGGATGCCACTTACAATTTCTTCCTTTTTAAAAAAGTATGTTTGTATGAATTTTAGAGAGAGAGGAAGGGAGAGGGAAAGGGGAACGTCGATCGCTTACTTCCTGTACACACCCCAGGATAAAACCTGCAACCTGGGTATGTGCCCTGACTGGGAATGAAAACAGCAACCTCTGGGTGCATGGGCGATACTCAATCGAGCCACACCGGCCAGGGCCACTTATCATTTCTTTAAAGGATTCTGCAGTTTACAAAGCACTTGCCTACATTCTTCTGAAATAGTCTCCATACAAACCTAAGCCGTGGTGCAGATTGGGGTACACAGTTTTCAAGTCACTTGAGAGAATGAGTTCCTTCCCTCCACAGAACACCTCCTCCAGACTTTGAAGACAGAGCCTCTCCCAGATGCTCAGGGCCCCTCCAGAATGACACAAGTTCCCTCTGTGTTATTAGCACACCAGGTCTCATTCGTTGGATCAACAAGTGTTACCGGAAAGGTGACCTGGCCCTAAGGAGGTCTGCCTAGGGCCAGCCAGTAGTGTGTGGGTTCTTGATATCCTGTAGGAAAACATTCACAGGTCCAGGTGATTTTTTTAGAGGATGTTTATTAAAGCTGGGGAGAGTAAAACAAGAAAGGACTGGGTAAGTGCGCCTGGGTTGGGCTAAGAAGTCAGAAACGGGGTTTCCTGAGGAGGAACTGCTGCTGTCCTTCACTGTGAGGGGTCAAGCCAGGAGTGTTAGTCAGGGTCAAAGTCGCCTGATAGCTTAGAGCAAGTGGTTCTCACCTTGGCTGCACCTTAGAATCACCTGGGAATCTTTTTAAATCCTAATTTCTGGGCCTCCTCCTCCGGAAATTCTGTTTCTTTGTTACTAATGTTGTGGCCCCATCCCATAACAAAGAAACAGAATTTCCGGAGGAGGAGGCCCAGAAATCAGGATTTTAAAAAGATTCCCAGGTGATTCTAAGGTGCAGCCAAGGTTGAGAACCACTGCCTTAGAGTTTGGGAGATGCATGCTTGTGAGGAGTGAAGCGAGGGGAAAGGCACAGGCATACTCCCCACTGGGAGAGCTTTCTGGGTCTTCCTCCTAAAAGCTTTAAAGGCTGGAGACCACAGGGGAAATCTCAACAGAATATTCACCAGCTTTCCAGGTGGATCCTTTCCGGATCCTGGTCTCCACTCACAGCTCAGTGGGGCAAGGGGACTTTAGTCAGTGCAGCTACTCCTGAGGTCGGCCCAGGGATAACTTGTCTGGTTGGCTGCTTTCCTGGGCCTGGAGCTGAAACACGACTGAGGCCTAGATTTTATCTCTAGGGAGGAAAGGTCAGGAGTGGGTCTGAACTGCATATGAAAGGTCAAGGGGCCTAAACTGAATGACCAGAACTATGCCAGGGGAGGAAAGGCCACACTGGGGGCAAGGTCAGGCACCGGTTTTGGCCCTTGCTAAGCACCTGGGGCTTTCTGCCCTGATGACCTTGTGTAGCTGCTATAAATTGCTTGGCCAGTTTGTTCAGCAATCTGTCCTAGCTTCCCCATTCTACTTGCCAAGGGATTTTCCTATCTCCTTTCTATCCGGCCTCACTTGTTCCCTCTGTTATTAGCACACCAGGTCTCATTCGTTGGATCAACAAGTGTTACCGGAAAGGTGACCTGGCCCTAAGGAGGTCTGCCTAGGGCCAGCCAGTAGTGTGTGGGTTCTTGATATCCTGTAGGAAAACATTCACAGGTCCAGGTGATTTTTTTAGAGGATGTTTATTAAAGCTGGGGAGAGTAAAACAAGAAAGGACTGGGTAAGTGCGCCTGGGTTGGGCTAAGAAGTCAGAAACGGGGTTTCCTGAGGAGGAACTGCTGCTGTCCACTGCTGCCCTGATTGCAAGTCTTGGGGGGAGGGGGGGGGGCGTCCCTTAGAGCAGTGGTTCTCAACCTTGGCTGCGGATCCTTTCCGGATCCTGGTCTCCACTCACAGCTCAGTGGGGCAAGGGGACTTTAGTCAGTGCAGCTACTCCTGAGGTCGGCCCAGGGATAACTTGTCTGGTTGGCTGCTTTCCTGGGCCTGGAGCTGAAACACGACTGAGGCCTAGACGTTATCTCCAGGGAGGTGAGCTGTGTCTGGCTATAAATTGCTATCTGTCTCAGTTTCCCTATTCCACTTGCCAAGGAATTTTCCTAGCTTCTGACTAACCTGCCTCACAAGTACTGAGCACAGGAAAAGACCATCAGGCCCAGCCGTAAGCCCCCATTAGGATGGGGAAGGGGGAAGGGGCGGGGGGTGTCTGCGGGCACCCCCCAGCACCCGTCTCCCTCAGGAAGCCCCGCGCCCCCACACTCCCACGGCTTCCCCTCAGGAGCAGAGAAAAGCTTCCATTGAGGTCACAGCCTATGCCCGGCTCTCAGGGCGGAAGAGGAGGAGTCCAATTGCCGCAAAGCTTCCTCGTCGCCTAGCAACGGCCTAACGCGGAGAGATGGAGAACAACAGCAGGGAGCTCCAGGCCAGGAAATACTTGGAAGAACATCGGATTATGGAGTTGCTGCACTATCTCACCAGTAGCCTGCTCTTTTTCCAGCCAAGTAAGGGTCTTGCCTACCACTCGGCTTTCTGTCCCACCCGCCTCCTCACAAGCTGCAGTTCCCGGAAATTCACGGTGCAGCCGCTCCTCCAGCCGGGCGCCCCCGCGCTTGCAGCCCTGCTGCTGCCCATTAAGGCTGTGGCCTTCAATTAGACAACTGCTCAGTGAACGGCCCTTTGTGCCCACCACCAGCCAGGTGCCCGCGGGACTCGGCCAGGGGGAGGGCTCCACCTGTTACTACTATGTGACGGGGCAAAAGCCTGAACCCCAGTCTCCTTTTCCTGGAAAACGGGAGTAGTAGTGCCGATCTCGGGGAAACGTGGGGAAGAATAGATAAATGAATTGCCCCTATGTCTCGCAAGGATCAGGTGTTTCCAATGTTTCCCCGACCTGAACGAGTTTTGAATCTGGTAAGAGCTAAACAATTGATAGTGCAAGATGGATCGGTGTTTTGGAGGAGTCTTTTCCTGACATTTTTACACCCCTGACCCCCTTTAAAAACTTGAAACATTTCTTAATTTTTGTGCGGTGATTTAAAAATTACGTTAAGATGAAAGTTATGTTGATGTCTTTTTACCCAAATGCAAAATTGTAACCTTGCCGGCCTCTCTCCACAAGAAGTGTTCAAAATGCCAAATTTATCCACCTCTTCCTTCAAGGAAATGGAAATACCAAACATTCCAACTTTGTCCCACCCAACCAATATGATCAGGTTTAGGGTAATCAAGCGCTCTCTAGTTCTTTTATTTTTTTTATATATTTTTTAAATATATTTTATTGATTTTTTACAGAGAGGAAGGGAGAAAGATAGGGAGTTAGAAACATCGATGAGAGAGAGAAACATCGATCAGCTGCCTCCTGCACATCTCCCACTGGGGATGTGCCCGCAACCAAGGTACACGCCCCTGACCGGAATCAAACCTGGGACCCTGCGGTCCCCAGGCGGATGCTCTATCCAGTGAGCCAAACCAGCCAGGGCAACATGTAAAATTTTGAGGGATGCAGTTCAACCGATAATACGGAGTGATGGAAGCTGCATGAACAGATGAGGAGTGAAGTTCTTTTAAATCGATAAAACAATACTCTGCAACAAATAAAAATAAATAGGGGGGGGGAGTACAAAGGAATGCATTCTTTTACATTTTTTATTTATTGATTTGAGAGAAAGGGAGAGAGAAATATCCATGTGAGAGAGAAACATCCATTGATTGCCTCCGGTATGGGCCCCAACCCCTACAACCTACTTTGACATTTGATTTTATTCCGTCTGTCCTATTCCTGTTTCCCCTGGGCTTTGTTTTTTTTTTATTATTATTTGTTTTAGTTTCTGTATTTCATGTTGGAGACTTTCTTCAAATGTCACATGATCCTTTTTCTGTCCATTTATATTAAAGAGTGAGGCACCAAAAAGATGGTAGGAAGATCTCTGTGTGTAGGCATGATGGTATACTAAAGGGCTCCACTGTAAGTTACATTCATCAAATGTTAAGTTGGTTGGAGCATTCTCCTGTACACCAAAAAGCTGCGGTTCCATTCCCGGTCAGGACCCGTAACGAGATTTTGGGTTGTTTTTGGTCAGGCACATTTGGGAGGCGACCAATGGATGTTTCTCTCTTACATCAATGTTCCTTTCTCTCTCCCTTCCTGTCTCTCTAAAAATTAATAAAAACATATCCTTGGGTGAGGATTAAAAAAAGAAAAAAAAAGAATGCACTTTTTTAAAAAAGCACTGGGGGGCCCTGGCCAGGTTGCTCAGTTGAGCATCATCCCCGTAGGCCAAGGTTGCAGGCTTGATCCCCAGTCAAGGCATATATACAAGAAGTAAAAAAAAAAAAAAAAAGAAACAAGCCAGCTGGGGGGGGAAAATCCTGGGTAAACTTCTTTAACATAAATGTTCGAGTTCACAAGTAACTCAAGGAAGCCTCCCGTGTCTCCGAGAAATTGAAAGCAGGGTTCTAGTCCTGACTGTGGATTTGGCCGTCCTGCAGGTTTTGCAGCTGATCAATGATTCTTTCTCATCATTGATGTTTCTTTCTCTCGCTCTTCCTTCTTCTCTAAAGTCAATAGAAATTGTTTTTTAAAAGAGACCTTATCTTTTAGAGATGTACATTCAAATACTTAATAATGAAATATGATTGCTATGATTTACTTCAAAATAACAGGAAGAGGGGAACTGGATGAGATTATGGTCAAATAAGACGGGCACAAATGATAACAGTTTAAGTTGGTAATGTTCATTATACTTTTCTACTTTTATTTATTTACTAGAGGCCTAATGCACGAAATTCGTGCAAGAGTAGACCTGAATGCACTTTTTTAAAAAAGCACTGGGGGGCCCTGGCCAGGTTGCTCAGTTGAGCATCATCCCCGTAGGCCAAGGTTGCAGGCTTGATCCCCAGTCAAGGCATTGCAGGAGGCAGATAAACAATGATTCTCTCTCACCGTTGATGTTTCTATCTTTCTTTTCTTTCCTCTCTAAAATCAATAAAAATATAATTTTTAAAAATGCCCAATCCCCTTTGCTTCCTCCTTTTATTAATAACTAGCTAACTGTGCCACTAACACTACCAGGGTCATGTCTTTATGTAAATGCCATAGTACTGGGAACCATTTCCACCTAATTGCTCTTCCTTCTTCTCTAAAGTCAATAGAAATTGTTTTTTAAAAGAGACCTTATCTTTTAGAGATGTACATTCAAATACTTAATAATGAAATATGATTGCTATGATTTACTTCAAAATAACAGGAAGAGGGGAACTGGATGAGATTATGGTCAAATAAGACGGGCACAAATGATAACAAGTAATCTAATAAATTAGATTAGTAATTTAGTAAATTTAGAAAAGTAGTTACCCCCAAATGTTTTATTTACTAGACGCCTGATGCATAAAATCTGTGCAAGAGTAGACCTTCTTTCCGCAGTCTGCTGGCACTGGCTTCCCTCTGGCACCTGGGACCCAGGCTTCCCTTGCAGCCCTGGTTTCATCCGGAAGATTGTCTGGAAGGACTTTCAGTCTAATTAGCATATTATGCTTTTATTATTATAGATTTATTCTCACCAGAGGGAGAGGTAGAGAAACATTGATGTGAGAGAGACACATTGATTGGTTTCCTCCCGCACGTGCCCCCACAGGGGCCAGGAATCTAGCCTGCAACCAAGGTATCGAACCCAGACCCTAGCTGGTTGGCTCAGTGTATAGAGCATCAGCCTGCAGACTGAAGAGTCTCAGGTTCGATTCCAGTCAAGGGCATGTACCTTGGTTGCAGGCACATCCCTAGTGGGAGGAGTGCAGGAGGTAACTGATCGATGTTTCTGTCTCATCAGTGTTTCTGGCTCCCTATTCCTCTCCCCTCCTCTCTGTAAAAAAATCAATGAAATATATTTAAAAAGAAAAAGAACCGAACCCGGAATCCTTCAGTCCACAGGCCGACGCTCTATCCACTAGAATCCTTCAGTCCACAGTCCGACGCTCTATCCACTGAGTCAAACTGGTTAGGGCTTTTTTTTTTTTTTTTTTTTTTACAAATGAACATTTATGCCTCCTAATTGGAATAGTCTTTTATTTTATCCCTTTTTTCAGTTGGCCACCTTCTTTTCTGCATCATGCTGTTTCAGTATTCTTTTTTATTTTTAAATACATTTTATTGATTTTTTTACAGAGAGGAAGGGAGAGGGATAGAGAGTTAGAAACATCGATGAGAGAGAAACATCGATCAGCTGCCTCCTGCACACTCCCCACTGGGGATTGTACCCGCAACCAAGGCACATGCCCTTGACCGGAATCGAACCTGGGACCCTTCAGTCCGCAGGCCGACGCTCTATCCACTGAGCCAAACCGGTCAGGGCTGTTTCAGTATTCTTAGTTTTCAACTCTGTCTGCATATTAGAATCACCTGAAGAGCTTTTGGGAGGAAAAAAACAAACAAAAACAAACCCAGATCTGGTCTCTTGACTTCTTTTTATTCAATAATCTGTGGCAGAGCACAGATTACTGGTATGTAATTAAGTTTTCAGGATCTTGCCTTTCTCACAAGCTAGGTCTCTATCCCCAGCGCACAGTACAGTACCTTGAGCCATTTAACAACTTAATAATTGTTAAATGACTGTATCCATTTGTGACATATTTTAATTTCATATCAAAAAGAATTGGAACTATTTTTTTTTCCTTTACAGCTAAACCAAGAGAGTATTTAATATCTCTATTGGAACGACTGAGAATTGCTAAAGAAACAGGTGTGTCCTTTCCTGTCTTTATGGATCACAGTAACATTGTGGCTATGTTTGAGATGATGGACTCTGCACACAGAGGCACCATATCATTTTTGCAGTACAAAGGAGGTCAGTGTCTAATGCAAGTCGAGGTAATAGTTAGTAGTCATTCCATAACTTTCTCTAGACAAAAATGATTTGCTTTGTAAACTTTCCTTCTGATTCTGACTTCTATAGCCCTAGAGACCCTGGGTCTGTTAACTGAAGATGAAGATTTAAAAGATGATGGAGATGGAATAACTTTGCAGAAATTCAAGGATGAAGTGTAAGTTCATTTTCTAATGAGTAATATTTAAAGAATATGGTTTTGAAGTACAATTAATATCTTTTAAAACAGAATCCTAACCTTTTTTTAATTTTTAAATTGATTTTTAGAGAGAGGAGTGGGAGACAGAAACATAAATGATGAGAAAGAACCATTGATCAGCTGCCCCCTGCACGCCCTCTTCCGGGGATGGAGGGGCCTGCAACCCAGGCATGTGCCCTGACCAGAAATCAAACCAGCAACCTTTCAGTGCACAAACACCCAACCAACTGAGCCATACCAGCCAGGGCCAGGTTCCTATCTTTTGATAGAAACTTTTAGCTGACTAGCAAGTGAGGACAGGGAGGGATGACAGAAAAGTTCCTGAGCCTGGGGAGAGGGGAGAGAGAAAACGCTGGAGTTAGGAAATTTCAGAGGCAGCTTCATTTTCTTAATGGGAAACCCCAGCAATTCTCAAAGAATGAGATAGAAAAGCCCCATTTGCTAGAAGGACTAACAGAAAAGCTTTGAGTCCAATACACTAGGTGGAAACTCTCAGTATAAAAGAGAGTTACAGAATTTCTCTCAAAATATTTCCTCAAAATTATTTAGCACAAAGTGTTTATCAACAGTATAGGGTGCATGCCAGACTGACTATTTAAAATTTGAAGTATTGCCCTAACCAGTTTGGCTCAGTGGATAGAGTGTCGGCCTGCGGACTGAAGGGTCCCAGGTTTGATTCCGGTCAAGGGCATGAACCTTGGTTGCGGGCACATCCCCAGTAGGGGGTGTGCAGGAGGCAGCTGATCGATGTTTCTCTCTCATCGATGTTTCTAACTCTCTTCCTCTTCCTTCCTCTCTGTAAAAAAATCAATAAAATATATTTTTTAAAAATTTTAAAAAAAATTTGAAGTATTACAACATAAAAAGTATTAAGTAAATGCTAAATCAGAAAAAAAAACCATTGGAATAAAATTTGGTAGTTGAAGAAAGACTAGTCTAACTCAGTTTGTTTAAAAGTTTTACTCACTGAGCATTTATTCACAAGAAATCATTAACATAATCCAAGGCCAAGGTAAAGTTAGAAAGTTTAATATTCCTATCTCATCATCAGTTACATACGTATTAAACAAAAATTGTTTAATTACATTCCCTACCCCTCGGAAGATTAAAGCACAGTGCTCTGGCCTGAAATGTTTCATCCCAAAGAAAAGGTTTCCCACAGACATGTGGACTAAAACAAGGAAGTATTTTAAATGGAAGGACATTTGTGGTAAATGAGAGCAATCCTATTTTAGTCACTATCTCTTAATGTGTTTTCTTACAGGAAATACAGTGAATTTCCAAACTAGATACAGGAACTTCAATTACAAACATGTGTTCTAAAGTGATTTTTTAAAAATTTATTTGCTGTGTTTGATTATCCACAATAGTCTCCCTTAGTTAACAGGAAATTGAAATTTGGTTACAATTTGTTATCTCTGCACTTGTATTTTATTTAACACATATTCAGCATTTATATCTGAGTTTCCATGGCTTCTGAGTTTTCTGTTTTTGTTTTCTTAGGGACAAAAGGGCTCAGAAAATATGGTCAGCATTTTAATAACACTGTAAGTCAAAGGTAATAAATGATTCTATAAAGTTTTCAGTTATCCAGCTTCATTAATTCGGAACTTCATCGTTTAACTTAATCCAATTGGCTTCCTCTTTGTTCAAAAAAGGGGGGGAGGGGGAAATGCATTATTTTCCAGTGTTAGGCCAGTTTGTCCTCAAATTAAGTAGAATCTCAACATCTTGTGGAGCCAGTTTGTAAATTCCAATTTCATTTAATGCTGCTGTAGCAGGAGGCTGCCCAGAAGTTGACTGCAGGACATCTTTCAGAAGTAGTGCAGAACCAATGTTCAAATTCAAAATAATACAGGCTTCTTTTACACTGTATAAAAAAAGTAGGGAGGAAATGAGATCTCCATTATCTTTATCATCCACATTATTCTATAACAATTTCATTTTGAGAAACTAAAGAGCTTTCCTGCACCTCTAGTCATGTGCCCTCAATAAAAACTATGTATGGGTTTATTATTTGGTTCTTTTAACATATTAGGACTATGTATGTGTACAGAGTTTGTATTTCATCAGGTTACTATAAGGTAATAGCATCACTGTTTTCAATAGTATCCATTACTTCCCAAAATACAATATTTTTTTTATATATATTTTTATTGATTTTTTACAGAGAGGAAGGGAGAGAGATAGAGAGCTAGAAACATTGATGAGAGAGAAACATTGATCAGCTGCCTCCTGCACATCTCCTACTGGGGATGTGCCCGCAACCCAGGTACATGCCCTTGACCAGAATCGAACCTGGGACCTTTCAGTCCGCAGGCCGATGCTCTATCCACTGAGCCAAACCGGTTTTCGGGCCAAAATACAATATTTGATATTAGTCTATTAAATGTAGCTAAGACTCTAGGTAGATTAGGATATGGGAAAAGAGAAAATTAAGGGATGAAATGAATGCAGTAGAAAGGTAGACTACTGAAACAAAATAAAAAACAGAAATAGAAAGCTGACTGAAATGAGCAAAAATATAATCTCAGAAAGACCCAAACAATTCAAATTTTACATCAATAATTTCTAAAAATACTTCTAAGAATTCTTCCTATAATTATATACTTAGAACCAAAATTAACGTCAAATGTTTAAAAACAAGAATTTTCTTCAAGCCTGGCCTGTTATTATATACTAAACATATTTTTAATTTCTTACATTTATCAACTATGGTAGAACTGACCTTGCTTTCATTTTTCTATTAATTTCTCTAGTAATAAGCAAATCAGAGTATTAAAGCAAATGCTAGAAAAGAAAGCCCAGCATATAATTTATATCTAGTGCTGGTGAACTTTTTGGGGTCATGGGTCAAATGTAGGATGGGCAAAAGTAGGTTCACAGTTGTGAGTATGTGAACCATAGTTTATTCTTGTATTAGTATTATTATTTCTTAATTATTGTATTTTTTTCCAGATGAACTACTATAAACCTACTTTTGCCCCACCCTGTATTATTCTGATACACAATGAACACATAAAATTTTTACTTGATGCTATATACATTTAACATCATTGGAACCCTAAAGTTCTTAAAAAAGGAATTAACCTCCTCTCAGGATTTGATACATCAAACTCAATGGTTAAAAACTGAGCTTACTGTTTAAAGTAATTTTCTGGTCTCTTGCAATAGTGGGAGAACAAAGGGAAAAGATTCCGAGTCATATCGAACTGCAACTGAGCTGCTCCTCCTTCATTGAAGTGATTAGCCAGAATGATCTGAAACAAAGAATAGTTCATATCACAGTTGCCTTCATCATCATAGCCCCCAAATAGTCTATTCCTTACTTACTTCTTGGTAGATATATATATCCAGCTTCTCTACGAGCATTTGCCAGAAAGTTTTAAATAAAGAGAAGCAAAGCTGCTGTTCCAACTGAAGTAAACGGTCTCGTAACGTCAGCAGGAGGGGGCAAGCCGAGCTGGACAGGGACATGACTGCCTGCTCAGCCTGAGAGGGCAAGGACAACCACCTGGGAAAACAAGAGCAGCACTGCCTGTAGCACATTAATTTTTACCATAAACATTTTCATCAGTTTGTGTTTTTAAAGATTTAACAAATTTAAAATTTGGGGAAGTGCACTGTCTTGAGGTATCTATCTATATATATAAAAAACCAGCAACCGGAATGCCAGAATGACTGGAACGACCAGACTGCAGCTGGCCAACCAGAATGATTGGGGGTGGAGCCAGCTGCCCAATCTCCCTCGGCCCCACTCCCGGGCTGGCCCCTCCCCTGATTGGCCACCACCCACCCTGATCGGGGGCAGGGCTGGCCGACCACCCTCCTGCATCCCCTCCATCCTGCCATCCTGCCCCTGATCTGCTCCCATCGGGGTGGACTAGCCAGACCTTACCCATGCACGAATTCATGCACTGGGCCTCTAGTCTATATGTAAAAGGCTAATATGCTAAGTGTCCAACCGTCCTACTGGTCGCTATGATGCACACTGACCACCAGGGGGCAGACGCTCAATGCAGGAGCTGCTGTGATGCGCACTGGCCATTTACAGAGAAATGGCACTGTGGACCTGGCACCCACAAAGCAACACTCAGCTTCCTCCAAGTGGGACACAGGCCCCACCACCACCCTGGAGCAACAGCCCACCAAATTGCAGCTGACGCTGCCAAGACCCCATGGCGCAAAATGTGGCCCACAGCCCAGCCCAGCCCAGCCCAGAAACGGTGGCTGTGGGCACCGGGTAATGACATCATGTAGTAACATCTGGATTCCTCTCCCTAGTGACTAGCCTCCTTGGAGTTTCTTTAGCCCAGGAACATGACTTGCTTTATAGCCAGGTGCAAACATTTTATATTTTAACCAAATGTCTGTGAAGTGTTTTCCCGTGCCTCATCTCATTTGATCCTCACAGGATTCCTAGAGTAGGTAGATAGGAAACTCAGTGGAATCCTATTTTCTTTTCATTACCAGAAAACGGAGATTTAGAAAGCTTAAAAACTTGACCCAACTGAAAAGAAGTTGGAAATGGGGGACCTTGAAAATGACTTCAGGTTTTCTCACTGCGCAGAATATAATTAAACATTGATGCAGTTAAATATTTTACCCTTTGTTCTCCCTGCATGGTCTACAATAATAATCTGCTTCATGTTGATATTTACTGCTGTGTAGCTGACAATTAACCTGAAAGAGAAGTTGGGGTGTTTCACTGGCTAAAAAAAGTTTAGCTAAATCAGAAAGCAGGTCTAATTAAGCAACCTTATTCTATATCTATACAAAAGGCTAAGTTGACTTGCGCATGTGTGATACATATAAAGTTCTCGCTGGCTCCAATCGCACACGTGTGTTTCCATCTGTCATTAAGAGTGAATATATTTTAGTCTATAGTGAATTTAGTTGAAACTTCTATTATTGATAATGGGCAAATAGCGATATTAAAATATTTCTTCTAATTAATTTCCTTTCAATGTGCACGAATTCATGCACTGGGCCACTAGTTTTGAATAAGAAAAGATGTACAGCATTTAAAACTCTCTCAGAAAAATAAATATACATATATTTATACTTTAGCTCTCAAATATTGTTTATTTAGTGGAGATGATAGATTAAAAATTTTTAAATATATTTTATTGATTTTTTACAGAGAGGAAGAGAGAGGGATAGAGAGTCAGAAACATCGATGAGAGAGAAACATCCATCAGCTGCATCCTGCATCCCCCCCCCACTGGAGATGTGCCCGCAATCAAGGTACATGCCCTTGACCGGAATCGAACCTGGGACCTCTCAGTCCGCAGGCCAACGCTCTATCCACTGAGCCAAACCGGTTAGGGCTAGATTAAATTTTTTAAATCCCCAAAGAGGACTTACTGAAATAATTTTAAGACAGTTAAAATGTAAAACATATTAGCATTTAAGATAACAGCTAATTTTATGCTCTAATTTTTAGCAAAACAGGGACTACTTCCAAGTTGGTTAGGACTGTGTTAGGACAAAAAGGTATTGCTGCTGTCAAGGAGCTCAGTCTAGTGGAGGTAACAGGTGTCCACAAGGAGTTATGGCAGGAGAACGAATTGGACAATACAAGCATGTACAGAGGACTACAGCAGCCCCTTACTGGAGTGTAAGCAAGCCCCTTACTTTGAAAATGAGTGACAGGCTAGGCAGTGGTCGGCAAACCGCAGATCACGAGTCACTTGCGACTCTTTGGCCCCTCGCGTCTCTTCCACAAAATACCACGTGCAGGCACACACATACAGTGCGACTGAAACTTCGTGGCCCATGCGCCGAAGTCGGTTTTCGGCCTGAGCGAGTCTATTTTGAAGAAGTGGCGTTAGAAAAAGTGGGGGTACATTCACTGAGGTCAACCCCTCAGATTGAGGACGTTTTTAGCAAAGGCCAGCTTAGGAGTACTCTAATTAAGTTAATAACAAGGTACCTACCTATATAGTTTAAGTTTAAAAAATTTGGCTCTCCAAAGAAATTTCAATTGTTGTACTGTTGATAGTTGGCTCTGTTGACTAATGAGTTTGTGACCACTGGGCTAGGCCATTCAACTCACATCATACATCAGCTCTCTGTATTTACAGACACATCTGAAGGTTAAATTATGATCAGTTCATTCTGATTAAGAGCAAATCTATTTTATCCCGGCCATTGTAGCTCAGTGGTTGAGTGTTGACCTATGAACTAGGAGGTCATAGATCGAATCCCAGTCAGGGCACATGTCCGGGTTGTGGGTTCAATCCCAGTGGGGGCATGCAGGAAGCAGCCGATAGATGATTTTCTCTCATTACTGATGTTTCTATCCCTCTCCCTTACTCTCTGAAATCAATAAGGAAATATATTTTATTTTTAAAAGAAAAAATATATTTTAGACAGAAACAGTTAACTAAGTTTGGTGTGCAAAAGGCCTAACTCTGTGCTATTTAGATATCTTGGAAATCTGACGGTATATATCATCTTTTAACTTTTACCAAACTGGAGTTGAGAGTTGACTTGTAAGAAAATACAGAGGACTTACCTTTCTTTTCTATACGATTTTGCAGCATCTTTGACTTCTCTAAAAACATGGTCTACTTGAC